CCCCCGCCGACAGACCGGAAAGCACAAACTGCCCCCCCACGACGCCTCAGACCCCCCTCGACCGGGGCCCGTGAACCCGATGACACGAACGCGGGGGGGCGTTTTTCCGATGACGTTCGGGAAGGGCCAAGCCGCAGGGAATTTTTTTGTCACAATGCGCGCACCAGGCCCCCCTCGCGACAATTTTGACGTGCAGCCACCGTTCGATGCGCGGATCGAGCAGTCACGCGGCGACGTGCGGACCCTGCACGAAAATCCGAAACGGAAGGGCCTCGTGTCCCGCGCGCCTACAAACACGAGAGGCGCCCTGGGCATTGACGATGCGTTTTGCGTTTTTTGATGGGGAGATGCTGCCCGACGGAAGCCTCGCACCACCACTGTCGTCTACAGCAGTGCCCCGCACAACTGGAGCGCCATAGCTGGCATAGCCATTCTTCAACGCGCTCGTTTCCTGGCACCGACGCACCCCGCATGCCCTCGCATGTCCCTTCGCCTACCAAGTCATTGTCCACGTCATATTCGACGTTGCTACCGCTCTCCTTACTCGAAAGGCGCGACCATCACCCCACGCAGCACCCTCGCAAACGCAAAGCACACGCCCAAAGGTCGACAGCGTGCCGTCACGTTTAACGTCGGGGTTCGCGCTCATCTCAACTCGACAGTTTCACAAGGTGAGTGCGCACGCAGCCGGGACGTATGTTTGCATGTGCGCGCGTGTTGGCGGGTTTTGTGATGATATGCTCGCGCAGATCGAAAGAGGTCGTGTTTGCATGTGTGCCGGTGGGCGTGTGTGTGTGTGCGTGTTTGTGTGCGAGTGTGTTCTTGCGCATGCTTCATTGTTTTCGTGTGTGTTCGAGTGCGTGTTCCATTGTGTACGTGTTCGTATGAAGTGTGTGCCACACGCGCGAGGCAGGATCGCGCACGTGTCTGTGCCTGAGGGGCGTATGTGTGTGGGCGCCGTGCGGCGGCGTGTGTGTGTGTGTGTGCGTGTACCTGTCTGTGGATATTTGTTCTCGTGTTTGTGTGTTCGTGCACATTGAGCGTGGGGAGATACTCGCTAACGTGCGAGGTCAGGGATGAAAGACATGATTTCCACTTCGATTCCCCGAATGGCGCTTGTGTGTGGACATTCGAGGAAAGTATCAAAAACGATTGTGCTCGTGCTGTGTTCAACCTCATCTTGCCACACTCGACTGATCCTGATTGATCCCAATGTCACGTCCGTCGATCTGCCCAATGGATGATGAATCGCAACACGCGGTGGCAATGTCGATACAGCGAACGCATCCATCGACCAATCGCGAAAATCGATGAGATCACTCCTGATCGGATGATTGATCGTATCCGCCGCGCGGATGTTATCACCACGTGTGTGTTGTTCTTTCTGTCGTCTGTGCTCAGACCAGTCGTGATGGGATGATCGATCTGTTCCATGACAATATGCACACTACACACGTGATGAACCGACCCATCACCAAACACAAGCCGACCACTCGCGATTGGGTGATAGATGCTGTTAGCTGCCCAAACAACATCGCCCCCGATCTGCCAAACGGATGATTAATCAATGCACGAGGCGACAACGTCTGGATCACAAACGCATGCAACCGACCAGGCAATATAATACTTGCGACCGGTCGATTGCTCGTGTCTGCTGCAGCGAAGACGTCGCCGATTGTGTGTTTCAATCGTCTCAAAGGCAAAACCAAAACACACACTGCGATGTGCATGAGTGCGTGTGTGTTTGCATGTGCGTGTGTGTGTTGTATGAGCGACCTGTTTATCTAACCACCTGATAGTCATGGACTGAATAGTCGATTGGTCAGGTATTCTGCCTGAATCCATTGATTGGCGATTGATCAACCACCACACCAACCGCCAACCGAGCAGCCGATCAATCAGCTGATACTGGCAGATTTCATGACCAATCGACAGTTCCGTGCACATTGATCGCGGAGAATCCTCAAGGCAAATGATCATGTGCACGATCGAAACCCGCAAACAAATCACACAACCTTGTCACAATGTTGTCGCACATCGAAAGTCAATCCCGATCTGCGAACGGAAGAAAAGCACTTCGTCACAATCTTGTTGCACATCGAACGTTGTAAAACATCGAACCGGGCTCCACATCAAACCTTGGCGGGCGTCGAACCTCGTCGGACGTCGAACTTTGGAGGACGTCGGGTCATCGACACTTGACGGTCACTGAACGGCAAACATGGAGCAGCCACCACCCCACGCATCATCGGTACAATGCTCGTCATCGGAACGTGACCGTCCTAATCCGCCAGCACAAGCTTGGCAGTGCCAACCGAACTGATCGCGCAATCAAACACCGGAAGAAGTCCGGATTCCGGCGAGGTTGAGCAGGTGTTCGAACACGCTTCGCAACCCCGAACCGCAACCACAGACGCGGACGTGTGAAATTTGAAGTCCGTCGAGATCCGATTTTCAAGAAATTGTTGGACGGCGAGTTTGGCGAACAGGTGTGTCTCTCCCACGTAGTTTCACGAAGTTCGGACCCCGGCAAACTTCAGGTTCCCGCCTTTCGCGAGACATGTTTGCGGCTCGCCCGCTGGCCTGTGAATCCGAACGTCGCTTGCACGGCTCCTTGCATAATCGTCAACTCCGGACCTCGTTGAACTTCGGATTCGTGAAAATGCGAAGTCCGCCAAAATCCGGACTTGTCCTTCACGGTTCCTCGCACGGACGTCAAGTTCGGACCCTGGCGAACTTCGCTTTCCGCATAGTGTGGGTTCCGATTGCGGACT